AATATATGTATAATGCACTAGTGACTACCACGGATTTGTGTATCTACGTCTACGAGCTCTCGCTATTGTCTGTCTGTCCTCTTAGCAACACACGTTCATCCCCTCCCTTGTCCCCAGTAACGCGCGCACGCAAGCGCGCGCTGGCTAGATCGGTTGCTTTACCATCTATTACCGACTTCACAAGTATAGAGGATGATACTCGTACATACTTATCTTATGAGGATAAGATTAATTACTTGCACTCTCCCCCTACGAGTATTATCGCTTTATATTATGTCTTGATATCACTTAAATCTATCGCATTAATTTTTCTTAATGTCCATATCAATTTTTCATGCGTTACTGCCTTAGTAAGAAAATCGGCGATCATATACTTTGTTTCAACATACTTAACATCTATATTACTTTTCTCTAGTTCATCTCTAACAAAATGAAATTTCAAATTAACATGACGTGTCTTGTTTGATGATCGCACGCTCCTCATCCATTCTATAGCCGCCGTATTATCACAATGTATCACAACAGGTTTATTCAAGAACATTTCTAGTTTCATTTCTATTAATAAGTTTGACAGCCATTTTACGTCCTTTACTATATCAGAACATGCAAATAATTCTACTACGCAAGTAGATAATCCTACGCATTTTTGCTTATTGCTTTTCCATAGTATTAGAGAGTCTTCTAACATAATAACTCCCCCTGAGAAAGATTTTCCATTTTCGCCATTTCCCCAACTAGAATCTGAATATGCTCTTAAAGTTCCCATTTCATTAGAGTAAAATAATCCCTTTTCTCTAGTGCCCTGTAAATATCTTAACACTCGTTTTGCTAACAAAAAATGGCGTTTTTCTGGTCTATTATTAAATTGCGACAAGTATGATGTTACAAACGCGATGTCTGGTCTTGTACGATTCGCTAAGTACAATAGTTCGCCTATTATTTCTTTATAAGAATCTATATCTATTACATCGTCCGTTTTCTCGAATACTTTGTCTTCTCCTGGAACGATAGGAGTGTTCACTGGTTTGCATTCATCGAAATTGTATTTTCTTAATAATTTTGTGATATATTCCGTCTATGATAATGTTATACCATTTTACGTTTTTTCTATCTTAATATTTAGGAACATATTGTTTTTAGTAGTTTCATTAATTTCAAAAGTTTGTCTCAGTTTAGTTAATATTTCATTACAATACTTAGAATTGTTGTCTATAATCGAGAAATCATCAACGTAAACTGATATAGCTATGAACACCTTTTGATTTTTCAATACAAATATGCAGTTTTCCGAAGTTAATGGTTCAAAACCCAATTGCATTAGAGTATTCTTGAATTTTAAATACCAATTACGTCCTGATTGAGGTAGACCGTATATACTTTTTTTAAGTTTAAGAACCTTGTCTTTCTCATATTCATCCTCAAATCCTGGAGGCAATGTCAAATAGACTGTTTCCAATAAATCACTATATAAATATGCTGTCTTGACATCAAAAAATCGCAGGTTTAGTTTTAGTTTACTAGCTAATGCTATAAACAGGCGCCATGCTTCTATAGATACTACAGGTGAGTAGGATTCCTCGTAATCTTTGTTTTTAACATAATTATATCCTGCAGCTACTAACCTGGCTTTAAATTTGACATTTTTATTCTCTTTATCATTCTTGACAGTCAGAACCCATTTACTTTTTGTGATTTTTTCCTTATTAGGTTTGTCCACTATTTCCCATACCGAGTGTTTATCAAATGACTTTAATTCTTCTCTCATGGCTTTTTCCCAATCTATCCAATTTTTACTATTTTTCGCCTCATCATAATTTGATGGCATCTTAACTTGTTCTACCAAATTGACTGATTTTTCTCGCAATTTTTCAGATCTTCGAACCCCCTCTCGATTCGTATTATCTTCTTCACGCCTTAAACACTCTCTTGCCTCTATAACCTCTCGAGTCGTACCTCGAGGTCTTCCGCGTGGTCTACGTTCTGCTTCTATAAAATGTTCATTTTCTTCGTTATCTATCTCACTATTTACATCTACGTTTATTTCATTATTCTCTTGAATTTCAGTCACATTTTGTTCCGGTTCTAAATATGTTAGTAAATTATATTCTCCACTATCTTTATAATTTTTATTAATAAGGCGCGCACCAGAATCATTTTCATTAAAATTTACTGTTCTTTCTTCCAAGACTTTTCCTGTTTCTGGTATATAAACTCTGTAACCGCGTCTTTCTCGCGCATATCCTACCATTATTCCTATCTTACCGGGCAAGTTCAATTTGTCACGTTTTTGTTTAGGCACATAACAATATGCTGTACATCCGAATACACGAAGATAGTTAATATTTGGTTTCATACCGAAAAATAATTCGAATGGCGTTCTATCTTTATTCTTACGAAAGGTTACGTTAGTAACGTGACTAACGCATGCTGCGGCTTCTGCCCAAAATATATTTGTTAACTTACTATCGTATAACAGATTCTTAGTACGTTCTAAGATTGTTCGATTAGCTCTTTCTGCCTTGTCATTGCTTTCAGGATTATACGGTATAGTTTTCTCATGAATTATTCCGTTATTTTCTAAAAATTCGTCAAGTTCACGGTTTAAAAATTCTCTACCATTGTCAGTTCTGAAACGTTTTACTCTAACATTAAGTAGATTTTCATATTTCTCTTTAAATGAAACAAACTTTTCGCAGACTTCATTTTTGTACTTCAGAAAATATGTAAAATACATACCAGAGAAATCATCTATTAATACAAGCATATATCGGGAACCATTCAGCGATTCAGTCGATATAGGTCCACACAAATCACCATGAATCAGTTTAAGTCGTTGTTTACTTTGATCTATTGTCACTACTTTATGTGTTTTCCTAGTTATTTTGCTAAGATTGCAGCTTTCACAGACGAAATTATCATCAAAATATACGTGCATATCATCTACAAGATTATCTTTATTCATTTTAGACAAATATTGATCGTTTATATGTCCCAATCGTTTATGCCATGTTTTGTGATCAATGTCTGATGGTTTTCCAATATTGTAAGAATATTTGTGATCTTCTACATTATATGGCTTAGCCAAAAATTTCAAACGTTTATCTATTAGTTCACCGGTCAAAATTGCGTTATTTCCCTTGTCTATTATGACAATTACATTATTCTGTTGTACTATTTTATAACCCTTTTTCATGAGCGTCGTCGTAGACAATAAATTTTCCCTGAGTTGAGGTACGAATAATACATCGCTCATTTCAATAATAATAATCTCATTATTTTCATTTCTTGTTTCAATTTCAACAGAACCTATTCCTTCATAACGCAAACTTGACTCAACTCCCGCCTGACAGAGATCACCAGCCTGAAAATCGATATTACTAAACCATTTAAGATCGTTTGCCATATGATTAGTCGCACCGCTATCAAATAACCAATTTTCATAAATATTACTTACTGAATCAGAATTAGTAATCATAAATGCGTATTTTCTATCGTTACCATTTACAGGTTTCACTATACTACTAGCGGATTTCTTCCTCTCTGTAATTCCTTGGTTCGTATGATTGTCTTTCCTTCCGTCTCGTTTGTAGTTGTTGGTAGCCCTGTGATGATCCTCTTTGTAGTTTTTACGATTCCAACAGAGCTTCGCAATATGGCCGCTTCTTCCACAGTTGTAGCACCTCTTGTCGTTCTTCCTCTGGACTGCGTAAGCACCGTCCGTTTCTCTAATATGGCTTCCACGACGTTGATATTTTTTCTCACGTTCCTTGAGTATCTCGTGAATTTCCTCCAAGGATTTTTCCCGTTGCGTTTTCAATATTTCGCGGATATCTTTATGTTGGTTGTTTATCCCTCGTACTGTGTAATATACTAATTCTCGTGGCGTCACATTTAATCCTAACGATGCACATTTTGTAGCTAAGTCACGTGCACGTGCAATATAGTTGCTCACTGTTTCCTTCTCTTCCATACGGAGAAATTTCAA